ATTGCAAAGGCTAAAATATATGGATGCTCACATCCCTTTTATAAAATGGCACAGTATCTGCATAGATTATATGCATCCTCTGTATACTTAAATCATCTCTAGATTACTTATAAGGCAGAGTACAATGTAAATAGTTGTTCTATTGTCTAGAGAAGAATGACAAGAAAAAATTTTGTACATTCTCAGTATAGACTCAATTTTTTTTTTTTTTTTTGGTACTGGGCCATTCTGTCACTAAGTTACACCTCCAGCCCTTTTTTTATTTTTTGAGACATGATCTTGCTAAGTTGCTTAAAACCTTATTTTTTTGCTGAGACTGGCCTTGAATTTGCAATCCTCCTGACTCAGTCTCCTGAGTCAGGGATTATAGGTGTGTGCTACCACTCCTGGCCAGAAGCTATTTTAAAAGAATATTTTCAATATGAAGTAAGTTGGATTTGCCAGCATGGAACCTGTGGATATAGAGGGCTGACAATATATATATATATATAATATATATAATATATATTAATATATATAATATATATTTTAATATTTATCTTTTAGTTTTAAGTGGACACAATATTTTATTTTTATGTGGTGCTAAGGATCAAACTCAGTGCCTCACATGTCTAGACAAACACTCTACCACTGAGCCACAACCCCAGCCCAAAGGCTGACTGTATTTTAAAAATGAATTAGAACTGGGCACAGTGGTGCATGCCTGTAAACCCAGCAGCTCTGGAGGTTGAGGCAGGAGGATTGCCAGTTCAAAGCCAGCCTAAGCAACAGTGAGGCACTAAGCAACTCAGAGAGACCCAGTCTCTAAATAAAATACAAAAAAAGGCTGAAGATGTGGCTCAGTGGTCAAGTGCCCCTGAGCTCAATCCCCAGTATCAAAAAAAAAAAATAGATTGATTTGTTCTGAGAATTTTATATGTAAAATTTACAACTCACTTTATAATTATAATGTTTATTTTTCTATTGCTCAGCTAAACTGTCTAGTTCTATACTATCCAATATGGTCACCACTAGCCACATGTGGCTTTCCAAATTTTAATTAATTAAATTTAAAAATTCTGTTCTTCAATTACATTAGGGCTGGTGACTGCCAGGCTGAACAATGCACGTAGAATACTTCCATCATGGAAGAAAGTTCATTGGTCAGCATTGGATTAGATTAGTTGTTCTGGAAAATTTAAATTGTCATATATTACATTATATTAAAGCAGGCCATAGCTTTACACAAATTATACTCAGATAACTTTATTAACTTGGACAGTATGGTAACTGAACTGCTTCAAGTTCTAAATTAGTAGAGTTGAGATTAATGAGGAAAACATCATTAATTACTTATATATTCATTATTCAGTTACCTTGACTGTATCTCCTTATAATTTGTTAAAAGCTGAAACAGAAGACAAATGTAGTAATGCCAACCTACCAGTAATAACCTCCACAATTTGAGCAACTACTACAACTCCTGGGTAATATGAAATAAGCCCAAAATGTCTGACTTTTTTTTTTCTTTTTCTGTTATCTATCATACATTATTCATGTTACACAACACCTATATTACTAGGGCCTAAATGTGTGCACACTCCTACAATTATATTTTAATGAAAACAACTGGGAGTTGAGAGTTGTGTCTGAGTTTCTCCCTCCTACCTAACAGTATATCAGTGTCCACATTTTCTATCCATGTATAAAATCTCCATTCTTCTGAGATTTATGCCATTCATCCAAACCTCTATCTAGCTTAATGAAAGAGGGTCACTCTTCCTCACTTATTAAGGACTTTTATATCTAGTTCACAGTCTCACTGTATATATACTCTATGTTCTAACATCATTCTGAGTGACTGCAACACCTACACGGAAGACCCTCCGAACTCAATAGCTTTAAAGTTCTTTGGGCTCCTTCACCTCCACTCAAGGGTAAGTAGGTACTTCCATGGCCACCCTCTCTTTTTGTCGTCATTGAGAATATTCTCACTTGTCATATCTTCTCTGGTCTCCTCAACTTCTATTTCCCTTCACCCTGTTTTATTTTATTATATACTGTTTCTTTAATTTTTGTGACTTTTTGAAGGCATAGGTCCTTAATTTTCTCTGTTAGCCCTCTTTAGATTTCACTGTCATTCCTAGTTCAAGCCTATGGCTCGACACTTCTATCATTCTCATCAATTCTTCTTGATTTGCTTATTATTGTAATATTGTACTCTTGTCTTTCTCCAATCCATCCTCACCTAAAACATGAATCAAAGGATCTTTCAGTAGTTTATTAATATCTCCAAATGAATATTTCCTCTGTCTAGAATATTTTCATCACTACCTTCTCCTTCTCTGATCAGCTTCAATATGTCTTTCAGATTTCTAGCTTTCTATGAGAAAAAGAGAAAATTCCTAAAATTCTAATTAACCTAAGTGCAAATATATGTTCTTTTATGGTGCCTCATGTACTCTACCATATCACTCATTATAATGTTATTTTCTAAAATTAAATAATTTCTCAGGTCATTATAAGATCCTTGAGGGTACAAGTTATCTTTCTCCCCCTAGAAAGTCTAACATAAACTAGGCATTTAATTATTGAATAATTTTTCACTTGAGAAAATGAACAAATAATGCTGATAATTTGAAAAGATCATTATAATTGAAGCTACATGTAATTACTCTGAGATCCATATTTAACAGAATGAAGTATGATAAACTAGAGCATGTTAGAAGTCGAGGAAAACAGAGCCAGGTAAGTAGGATTGGAAGTCCCAGGGTTATAAGGAGCAAGGAGGATTAAAATTGTAAGTACATTGTTCTGGCTAGGCCTAATTGAAGAGAGAGTGAGTAAAGATAAAATGAAATACTCAGCCATGTAGGTATTTTAGGAGAAGAGGATATAAGGCAAAGGCAACAGCCAATGTAAAAGCCCCTAAGGTGGGAGTGGTTAAGGAAGGTGAGGAGGAAAGTGGTGAGAGATGAGTTCAGAGAAGCAGTGAGGCCAGCTGGTGTAGACCTTGCAGGGCTATGTAAGGACTCTGGATCTGAGTAAAATGAAGAAGGCATTGAAGAGTAAAGGATGACTTGGCTCACTCTGTGTCCTATGTTAAGAACTAGAGGAGACAAGAGTAGTGATAGGAAATCCTCCTAAGAAGCTACTAAAGGAATCAATGAAAGACAGTGGTAACTCAGGCCCCAGTGGTAGCAGCAAAGGTAGTGACAAGTGGTCAGATCTGTGTCATATTTTGTAGGCAAAATCAACAGATTTTCCTGAGGGATTGTATATGGGCTGTGAGACAGAGAAAAGGGTCAAAAGAGACTCTTGGAGGTTTTTTGTTTAAATGGAGTTTGACATCTTTAGATGGGGAACACTGCTGGAGAAACAGGTTTATGGAACTGTAAATAATGCTTGCATCCACTAAATACTAGATGTCTATTAAAAGTCTCTAATCAATAAATGATGGTGGAATATGATGATCATCATTATTCAAAGTACATGTACGAAGACACAAATTGGTGTGAATATACCTTGTTTACAACCACAGAAATGAAAAATTGTGCCCTATATGTGTAATAAGAATTGCAATACATTCTGCTGTCATATATAAATAAACAAAAGTTTTTTAAAAAGTCTCTAATCAGATAGTTACATATGAGCCTGGAATCCATGGAAGAAATTTAGGCTGAAGATAAAAATTTGGGGGTCAAATGGCATATAAATTGTATCAAAAGCACTGAAACTGGATGAGATCATTAAGGAAATGAGTATTGATAGAGCAGAGAAGGCAGCCAAGCACTAACCCCTGGGTACTCTAAGAGTAAGAGAAAAAGAAAAGAGTAAGAAGGAGTAAAGAGAATGAGAAGTAAGCAGCAATGTGAAAGAACAACAAAAAACTTGTAGTGATGGAAACCTAATGAAAGTCGAGGACAATGAAAACTCCAAGGGGAAACACAGAAGTCATCTGTGACTTGACAAAAGCACTCAACAGAATGATGAAGACAGGAACCTGATAAGGGCAATTTTAGAAAAAAAATTAGAAGAGACGGACTGGATTCCATACGTACAGATAAGACTTTCGAGAAATATGTTTCAAAGAAGAGCAAAGAAATGAGAAAACAACTATAGGCTTTGTGGTTTGTTTTTAGATAGAAAGCATGTCTGTATGCTTATGGAAACATCCTAAAGAGAAGATACTGGAACATTCATTGATGTGAAATCACCTAGAAAATAAGACAGAAGTAGGACTAGAGGGCATGAGAGTAAGAGACAGTAGGTTAATAGTCTGATATCATGAAATTCAAAGCTATAGGAAGAAACATGATCTTGAAGGAATGGTAAAATATTTGATCCATTTACATGTCAAAGATATTCAGTCCATTTTTAAGCCCAGTCATCAGAGAAAAGGAAGAAAACAGAAGCTTTCAGTTTGGAATCTATAATAGAAGCAGCAGATTCAAAGGAGAGTGGTTTTTTATTGCAGCAAGAAGGTGAAGGAAAGAAAAACCAGAAAAGTCAGGGTATAAGAGATTTTGCTGGTGATAAATCTGCAGGGTACAGAAAAGTTTTAGTAGTTTGGCAGGGATAGGAAAAGGAACATAAGAGGTAATATGTAGAGTCTTATGGGATTCAATGGCAAGAGATGAGGAATGATGTGGGAGCCTCTTGGGGTGACAAACATAAACTGGGTTGAAGAACATAATAAGATTGATCCTGGTGGACTAAAGAAAGATAGTGGCAGTCAAGTTTTGAGTGTTGTGGGGCTGGGCAGCTCAGGCTGTGTGTAGCTCTCTTTCCATGCCTACTGGGGAAGAATGTATTTGCTCCTACTGCTAGAGCTCCCCTTTGACACTTGTTGACAGTATTGATGGAATTTAGGCCAGCTCCATTCATGATTAACCATTTAGGAAATTCATGTGACCCTCATGCACATGAATTTCTGATCAAACAGCTTACAATTTAAAATATTTCCTTGCTCTAGGGGAAAAGTAAGCTAATTTTTCATAGCAGAGTTTGGTTTTACTTACATCTGTGTTACAGGAGCGATACCGTTTCCTTTCCCCAAGGCAATATTTTCCACCTCCTGAAGGTCTGAAAAAACATTTTAGCATGTGAATATATCTCTCCAATAAAGAATACATATATTGATTATTGAAAATATTAAAATTTACTTTAAAATGCCAATGTGATTATTTTATTATTAAAATAACACGCTAGTAGTTATTAGCAAAATTATGGTTGAACATAAAAATTAAGTTAGTTTACTATGAGTAATGTATAAGATTTAATTGTCATGACTTACATACTTAAGAAAATATAATTAATATATTTTCTAATTATAGTATAGTATCTAGTACAATATAATGAATTTAAAAATAATTTATTTGTAATTAAAAGCCAGTTAAGTCATATTCAACAAAACTCATAATCTGATGCTATATGCTTACCAGGTAGGAGAGAAAAGTTTTTTTTTTCCTTCCATATGGAAAGCAAAGAGAGGACACTAAATAACTTTCTGGAAATAGCACCAATTCAAAATAAATAATGCAGAAATTAATTCCATCTCATTTCAAATATTATATGAAGTTAAAAATCAAACCCCTAAATCAGATGGCTTTGCATTATATAAATTTTTATATATATTCAAATTAAAGAAAGAGTAGAATGTTAAATATTTCATTTACGTAAGTTAATCTTAAATAGTTTATATTAGGGAAAGCCATATGCTATTGTTTGAGAATTCTATTATTGAGGGGAAACAACTTTTTCTTTTAAAAGAGGTCCAGGTATTCCCTTACATATCTGGCTATATTATTTGTTGTATTATTTTACTTTTTGGGTTATTAATTTATAGCAGCTTACTGTTTAATTTAGGTTAATTATTCTGTACTATCTTAGGATATATGGGATAATCAAATCTATATTTTTAATATATTTTGAATGCCAGTGAATACTGACTCTAATGAAACAAAGGAAATTGCTCAGCTTGAATCAAGCTTGAGAGAGGTTGGCTGGTCAGACAAAAACAAGGTAGTGGGGATAATGGTAGTAAGAACTGGTTTATGAATGCATAACAGGAAGCTCTACTTAGCGGGAAGGTAATTATTGATAGAAAGTGGGAGAATGAAAACACAGAACTAACATGAAGGGAAAAAAATTCAAGCTAAAAAGAAGAAAAGACACATTTGGAGAGAGATTCCAAAGAGAAATATCGTGAGTTAAAGTGAGAACAAATAGAAAATAAAAATAGATAAGCTTTTATCCCAGAGGGGTAAAAAAAAGTTATCATAATTTCCTACATCAAATTTTACTAGCCAGGAAAGAAGGCATTCAGCCTCAGTTCTAGACAAAAATGGGCACTTGACATGCAGCAGCTAAGGAGTGGTTTAGTCTGGGGGAGGACAGGAAAGTACAACTAAAGGAACAGTTCACCTGTAATGGGCATTGGTGGGAGGGAGACGCAATAGAGCTAGAAAATAATACTAACAAGGCTGGCCTTGTGCCAGGGCAACTCTGGCTGGAGAAAAGAGTAGTGGGAGAGGAGCAGGTTGACCTGCATAAAACAGTCATGGGGAGAAAAGTTGTGGCAGCTCTAGAAGATGATTAATGGGGGCATGTGAATGGAAACTATTTTAACACATGGGCAGTATTCTTTTCATTGTGATTTGTGGTGCGAATCAAGGCATTTCAACCCTTGAAGTGCTCTCATTGGTCCTTTTAATACTAATGTAGCAGTAATAATTTTATGTGACATGTGAAAAGACCTTAGGTTTCCTGGGAATAATGGTAATGTAGCAAAAACCAGACCTGGATTCATCCATAATTCAGTAGTTTTTGTAGGAGGAAATCTATCTGATTATTACTAGATTAAAAGTCTGGCTTATCTAGGACAGATACACAATGCTTTTCTATTTTAAAAATTTTTATTTTTAGTTATACAATAAGAGGAAAAGAAGAAAAAGAAAGTCTATTTAACAAAGCTCCTCCACTTTCCTGTGCCTATTGCTTGTTCTGAAGACAAGCATTTGGCTCACTAGAGAAACGTTTTTACAGATAACATGTGAAACCACAGCTTTGAATCATTTCCAACTGTGTCTTTTTGTTGGCTCTGGCTTACTTTAGCTACTTACGCTGGACTGTCACAGTGTCTTAGGGATGAGGAGACGCCTCCCCCGCAGGTTCTGCTGCACTCTCCCCACAGTGACCAGGGACCCCAGCCCCCATCTATGCTCTGGGGCCAAGTGCCAAAAGGAACACAATCTCCCTGATAACACCACTGTAAGATTTCACAGAAAACACATAATTAGCTTTTAGGCAGATAGAACTATCAGGACAGAAATACAAAAGGATCAGGTAATGACCAATTTTAGGCATTAGCATTCTCAAAACAGATAACACATAAATAGTTCTTTAACTTGTTTAGACTTAGTAAAGGTGCATGTGATTTGAAAATTATCTTTAGCTATGCCATGATTTATAAATCTCTAACAAGTACCAGGAGTTCTAAAAAAACCTGACTTTGCCTTTTTTCCTTGTTTCTCCTCCTCCAGACTTTTAGTGTTTCTCATTATGGACCTAGCTAGCTACAGACCTCAAAGTCTTTTTTAGATATTTTAGTATTTTCTAAAAATTTTTTCTTTATATTCCACTATTATTAGACTCATGGAATGATAACGCAATGTGGAAAGTTCCCCAGTAAGGAATTTTTATGATAGTAATTGCTCTTTCCTTAAAAAAAAAATTTTTTTTAAATGAGTTGAGGCTACAATAGTAAAAGAATGTGTTGTGGCATTTCATCTACATGAGTACTGCAGACATAATAAAAGTAATGCCAAGACACTAGGGACTGGGTACAAAAAAACCCTTATATACACTCACTAGCCATGTGCATGGCCCCTGCATGAACATGTGTACTAGAATTCTGTTCAGCTTTACTCTCTGCAATAAACCACACACACTGCACCTAAGTAGAAAGCCAGAAATAATTTATCGAGACACAGACATCACATAATCAGCTCATAACTCTAGCATGATAAATCTTATTTGAAGAACATGGCAAAATAAAAGTCTTTTTTTTGTAAACCAAGCTTTTGTAGCTTTTATTGGTCCATTTTTCTGAATTATCAAACTTTGACAAATCAAACTGATGCTATGAAAGTTATTTATTTTTATGAATAACAAGAAGGAAAATGGTTATTAGAGTAGAATAAATGTCAACAATGTTGGAAGGTTTAAACAAAAATTCAACCTTATAAAGTCCCTTATAAAGGGACTATATGACACGTGATGCTTAAAAAGCCATTAGTTCATTATGCTAATTCCATCACCAAGTTTGTTGTTTTACCTCCAAGAAATATCTAGAGTTTATTAACTTTTCACCTTCACTGCTAACACCCTAGATCAAGTGGCAAATGAAGTAGCCTCTTAACTGGTCACTTTAACTCCATTTTTTCTTACTAGAATTATTTTCCAGAAACCATTCAAAGATACCTTTTAAAACCACATTATCACATCATGTTGTCAGGGTGGGGGGGGGCGCTTAAAATACTTCAATGTTTTCCTACTTTCCTTAACATTGGACAACAGTGGACTTAGTGATCTGGCCCTTCCTTTTTCTTTGGTCTCCATCTGTCCTGTGCACTAATTGCTCCAGAACATGTTGACTTTTTCTTTTTCTTTTCTTCTTTTTTTTCCTTTTGGTACTGGGGATTGAACTCAGGGGCACTTAACCACTGAGCCACATCCTCAGCCCTTTTTCATAGTTTATTTAGAGACACGGTCTCACTGAGTTGCTTAGGGCCTGGCTAAGTTGCTATGGCTGGCTTTGAACTTAATATCCTCTGCCTCAGCCTCCCAAGCTGCTGGGATTACAGGCGTGCGCCATCGCGCCCAGCTGATTGTCTTTTTCTTAATAAACAAATCTTATTCTTTCTTTAGTGCATCTGCATTTGCTGGTCTTGGTAATGCTCTCCTCTACATTTCTTGTATTGCTGTCTTCTTTTCATTCAGTCTTAGGTCAAGTGTGATTTCAACAGAGAGCTCTCTCTCCTTGACCACCTTTATTTCTGCCACATCCTGCCCTATGCCCTCCAGTGCCAGAATGCAATAGTGATCCTCCCATTTTAGTTCTTTTTTACCTTTTAACACTACTTCAAACTAGCTATCTTTCAAATTACTACTTTGTTTTCTTCCTCTCCTTAGAAAGTAAGAGGCTTGATAGGGACATATGGCCATTTAAATTAATTAAAAGAAATAATTCAGTTCTTCAGCTCCATTAGCCACATTTCAAGAGTAGTATAGTCATGTGTGCCTAGTGGTGACTATGTTGGACACAGCATATACATTTCCATCATTACAGAAGGTTTTATTGGTAATGATGAATGCCTAAAATAGAGCTTGGCAACTAACAGGCATGCGATAAAATTTTCTTAAATGAATAAGTCATAAGTTAAATTATAGAATTCTGTGTCACATTTTGGTTGCATGTCGGAAAGAAAACTAGAGATACCTTGTTTTCTTTGATATAAGGAGGCTGATTCATAGTGGGATAGGGAGCGGGAGCATGGGAAGAATAGACGAACTCTAGATAGGGCAGAGGGGCTGGAGGGGAAGGGAGGGGGAATGGGGTTATTAATGATGGTGGAATGTGATGATCATTATTATCCAAAGTATAGGTATGAAGACACGAATTGGTGTGAATATACTATGTATACAACCAGAGATATGAAAAATTGTGCTCTATATGTGTAATAAGAATTGTAATGCATTCTGCTGTCATCTATAAAATAAATAAATAGGCAAAAAAAACTATAGTGAAAGAATATGATTTTTAATTTAATGTATTGATTGGGTTTTCAGTGCAGGAATGAGTCCCTGAAGCTACAAGTGTGCCTAGGGCCAAAGAGTCATGGTGGGTCCCTGCAAAGGGCAGAGGGCCATAGGTTCTGTTCCAATTCCCCAGCCTCAGGAAGGCTCAGCCTTTGACAAGTAGCACAGGGAGATGCCAAGTGCTTTGGTATGAGCTGGCAAATGCACCAGGAAGAGAAGGAGGGATCTCTTGACTTGACCTCCATTTAACTGTACTATGACATCTTGTCTTAACTAATCTTTATATTATTTAAAAGTTTGACTTTTAGTAATATTCAGAATCTTTTCCATCCATTTCATAATTTAATAAACTTCTTATTTGAATTAAAAAAAATAAAGTCAAATTCATATGTATTTCCCTGGTAGCAGGTGTAAAAGCTCTATTTCCAAAGGCAGGCAAATGGATAGAGTTGGAGAATATTATGCTAAGCGAAGTAAGCCAATCCTAAAAAAAACAAATGCTGAATGTTTTCTCTGATATGAGGATGCTGATCCATAATGGGGATGGGGAGGGAGCATGGGAGGAAAGGAGGAACTGTAGATAGGGCAAAGGGGATGAAGGGGGAGAGAGGAGGGATGGGGGTTGGAAAAATGGTGGAATGAGATGGACATCATTACCCTAAATACATGTATGAAGACATGAATGATGTGACTCTACTTTATGTACAACCAGAGACATGAAAAACTGTGCTTTATATGTGTAATTTGAATTGAAATACAGTCTTCTGTCATGTATAACAAATTAGAATAAAAAGAAAAAAACATAAGATCTTAAAAATGCTGTGCATTAAAAAAAAAGCTCAGTCATACACCCACATCTTTTTTCAGATCTCCTTGAAGAAATCCATGATAAATAGAGAAAATTTCCAGTTTTTTCAATTTTTAGGGAAGAAAGGAATTATGAGGGCTGCAATAATATTGAAAATCGTAGGTTCCAAAAGTTGTAGGTTCCATATGTTCTTAGTATGCTTGCAAAATGCAGGGAAGTGAGAAAAGTCACATAAATCTTCTTGTTTTCCTTTTAAATCTAATTCTTGGGCAAGGGAGTATAGCTTAGAGGTAGGGTTGGCACCTAGCATGCACAAGCCCCAGCACCAATTTTTTTTTTAAATAAAATAAAGCTTACTCTTAAGATAAAAGATAAATACACTATTCAGTTTCTTAAATGCTGCTCAGTTCTCATGGTTAATTAGTATCTACACAGTCATAGTATTTAATAAATGATTTGCTAGAACTTTAACTGCATAAATTCATGCTTTAATTATATATATTTCATGGACATATTAGACATACCAGAAAGTTAAACAACAAATATTAATGGATAAAAATCACAGTAATAATGTAAAATCAGTTATTAAGCAGTTGATAAAAGACACATCTCACTTGAATAACTAGTTAAAATTGTTAACTAGTTTACAAACTAACAACTTCAGTCTGTGTAGGAAACTTTATATTATGAATCTCAGTTCTCATTCAAGCCATATTTTAGGGTCCAAAGCAAATCACTGGCTTTCTTTTCCTTTGTTTCCATAAATATATAATGGAAACTAGTTTTAGTATTTGATTCCAATGTGATTTAAATTAGAAGAACCTTAAAAATTAGTTCAATGCAGATATACATTCAAATAAGTTAAAATCAATCAAACAACTTGTTTAATTTTGATCTCTGGCAGAAGTATGCTTTTGAATTTTGTTTTGTTTTCCCTCTTTCTATTTATGGGAACAAAATCTTCTTGGAATTCTCACATAAGATTTGAGCTACTTTACTAGATGTTTCATTAATCAATATAGATATAAAAATTTTAATGTATGTAAATCATGAATACAATAATTAGATTATATCAACGAATCAACTGAAGTATATAAATCCTATTAAGTACGGAAAGGTAAAATTTTTGAGTCCTATCATCTATTTTTATTCTTTCTTTTACATGGAGTTGCCATACCTGTAAAAGCTCTATTTCCAAAAGCATAGTCTTATTTCATTTTTTTAACTAGGAAAGTTAAATATGCAGATGCAAACCAGTTTCTAATCTTTATTCTCAAAGGTAATATCTAATCTAGTAATTTTGGACTGTTCTAAATAACAGTCTTATCACTTCAGTCTAAATTATGCAGACAAATTGGATAAATTTGGCCTTCCTTTTGCTAATTCAGGTGTGTTTAACCAAATTCACAAAGGTGAAAGAAATGAAACTAATGCATTCCAAGAATAAAATCTCATGTTGTTTATCCTTACTTTTCACATTCCATCTAAATTAAATAAATGTGTTTTAAACATTATCTAGAAAAGTAGCACATTCCACTGAAGCTTTGAAAAGCTTCTTAAGAAACACCTTTCATTACTAAACAACATCTCTTGCTATTGGGTTACTAAATTTCATGAGCTATACAAAAAAACTGACTTTAAGCAAGATATATTATAAATTTAACCATCTACCTTTGAGAATTGGTCAGAATTTTACAAAAGAAATTTAAGGTATATATAGTATTTTTAAATAACTTTTTAAAACTAGAACCATTTTAGGAGGTGATAAAGGTATATCTTATAATAGCCAGAACTGGGTCCAGTCAGCATCTGGAATGAGAGACCTCTAAGGAAATCCTAAGGTTTTAAAGGAAATGATATTGGTGATTCAATTCAGAACATTCTTTCCAAGTCAGAGTGCTGAGGGCTGGAGCACTACACTATTAAAAGCCTTATCTTTCCATTATGCAGGTGTGGGAATGTTCAAGCTACAATTCAGCCCAAGTTCTAAATCAGAACTTGTCATCCCATACTATTTAAATTTATAAAGCAAATGGAAGAGCTACTCTTTCTTCACTTCCTGTGTTTATAGTTAGGCGTCCAGTCAAAACATATTATATTCTACTCTAAGTGAATTAAGGTCTAAGACTACAAATGTGCTATTTTATATCTAGCGCTTTAGAAGCCCATGTAATAATCCCATTCTAATCCACCCCTATGTTACCCATGCAAAGATATTAGGAATCAATGTCACTTATATGTAAGCCCAAATGCTGGACTATATCTCTAATTGCGTCTTATAGAATCATTAAATCTATCTTTTGGCAATAAACCAAGTATTTGAAATCTTCTTTGTGGTCACCAGCAGGGATTACAAGGATTGGGCTTTGATTATCCTTAATATCCTGTTTGGTAACAATGCCAACACTACTACTGAAGTTTTTACAATCTAAATCCTTATTTACTATTTCATCAATTATGGCATCCCTCTGATTCCTGTCCAAGGGCTATTACTGATGCTATACCCAAGGAAAGTTCTCTGGCTGAAAGTTATATTGATTGATTTGTAGGAGACTGACCCATGGACACACAGTACCAGCGCACTGTCTGGGCTCATCAAATTTCCTCCTTTGGTTAATGCTACTGTCCCTGAGCACATCCATTCAGACCATATGGTTCTTATTCAATCCTTGAATGGCTTATTCAGGCAAACATCCAATGGCTGTAATAGCGATGTCAGACCCCCCAGGACTCACGCAAAGATCAGTTTTTAATTTTTTGGCCATATTTCTTACTCCATCTGCTAAATGTGCATGGAACAGTTCCCATACTTACATGGAACATTTGTGGAACTGCGCCCCCGGGCAGGGATCCCATATTTTTGCAGCCAGAATTTGACGAGATCATCATGCATCCACTCCTCTGGATATGTCTATGCTATCACTCAAGCAATATTTCTACCCCCTCCCTTTTTAAGAAGATTTATTCAGAAAACTATGAGCAACTTTGGTTTTATTCTTCTGGCTAGACAGGGTGTAGGTTCTTTCTCGTCTCTTCTAAAGAAAGCAGTTTCGAAACTCAGTTAAGATCAGAGGCTGTAGATATTCCATTTATGTCTCTGAGAGATAAACTAATCCTTGTACTCTGATGCTCATTGCTACTAGTTGAGAGGGTCTGGCACAGAATTGTCTGCCCATCATCATTTAAGGTTAGAAAATTATAATGAAAAGTATGATGATAATTTAGCAATAGATACCATCTTCCCTCAAAGGAAAATCACAAAAAGCTCATTGATATATTATCTCAATCCATCTTCACAATATCACTATAAAATATGTTGAAATCAGTTTTCTCTTATTTTAAAGATTCCACTATTTTTCCAATTGTCACACAATCATATATTTTTAGCTCAATGTTTTACCCATACTGCCGTTTTATCGTGCCTACTCAGTTAAGAAACTGTTACCAGTAGAAAAATTAAAAATCCATTTAGTATTAAAGGATAAAAATATACTGTCACCACCTATCTCAGTCTTAGTGAACCACTTTATTCCTGTAACAACAAAAATTAACTTTTTCCTATGCAAAATTTCTCACTGGAAGATAAAGTAAAATTAGAGGCAGTATAGAGGGAGAAAGATTTTAACTCCCAAATCAGAAAACCTGGGCTGGAATCTCAGCTATGCTGGTAAATAGTAGTATAATTTGGACTCTCAAGTCTTACTTTTCTCATCTGTAAAACAGAGTTAAAACAGTACCTAACTTATAGGATTTTTGTTAACCTTAAACAGATAAATGGTTGTGAAGCACCTAGTGATATGTGTCTGGCATAGTGTAAGTACTTTAAAAATATTTATTACCATTGTCATTATTGTTACTGGGAATGCCAACTATTTTTAGATGACAGGTTCACAGATTAACCACACAGAGTTGATCAAATCAATTGAAAATTCCAGTTTGATCGTGTCACTAACTCTTCTCATGTGTTTAAGTCAAAATTCTAAATTCTGGTTTAACTTCATAGTAATAAGTATAAAATCTGCATTCAGCAACAATAAACATGCTTCTTTCTCTTAAGAAAAGATATAATAAGAACTAAACAATAAAAATTCATATAGAAAATAACAGTAAATTCAGTTAATAAAAATAAAAGTTCAGCTCATGTGTCTAGTTCTTTTTATTAATATAGATAGATTCAGTTCTCTGAAAGCCCTTCATAAATTTAATTTTTCAATGTTTTGTTCTCTTTTGTTTTATTTTTGTACCAGGGATTGAACTCAGGGGCACTCAACCATGGAGCCCCATCCCAGCCCTATTTTGTATTTTATTTAGAGACAGGGTCTACTGAGTTGCTTAGCACCTCGTTTTTGCTGAAGTTGGCTTTGAACCCCGTACCTGCTGTCTCAGCTTCCGGAGCTGCTGAGGTCACAGGCATATGTCCTGCATAAATTCAGTTTTTATGGATGCTTTGAGAGTCTTCTTTTTCCTCTATTCTTTCTAGGAATCTATGTTTGTATTTTTTTTTCCATAGGTTCGTTTATTCTAAGACTTGTTCCTATCATTCCTAAAACTGCCTACCTGCATGTTTTGGGAAGAATGACCCGGATTTGTCTTGTAGATTAATTTTAGATGGTGATGTCCAATGTATTGACCTTATAATAGTACAGTGTTGGACTGTGAGTAAAAATGGCGCATTGCTCTGAGCAGTTTAGCAAGATCCTGTCTCTAAATAAAATATAAAAAAAGGGCTAGGGATGTGGTTCAGTGGTTAAGTGCCCCTCGATCAAAATCTTATACAAAAAAAAAAAAAAAGATGCTTTGACACACAAACCTACAAGGCCCTCAAGTAGTTTTTTAGGGAGCCCAAGTTGTTCTTTGGAGGTATGTTAGGAGTGACAGGGTAAATTAAATTTCTGCATTCAGCAACAATAAACACGTCACCAGCTATCTCAGGCTTAGTGAACCACTTTATTCCTGTGACAACAAAAAATAACTTTTTCCTATGCAAAATTTCTCACTGGAAGATAAAGTAAAATTAGAGGCAGAGACAGGGTAAATTAAATTTCCCCTCTATTTGATTTTCTAAATTTAAATTCAATACTGTTAGCTTTAATATTAGTTGAGGTAAGTATTCCTCAAAATCATAATTTCTAAGAAATACGCCAACTTTTTCATATATATGCAGATAGCTGTAAGGTCTGAGATTTAAGGGCCCTTCCAAATAGCCACTATTTATGGTTTAATTACTGAAGTGATTATATAATATATAGAATGCTTCTAGAAGTGCTTTGAGGTATTTAAAAGCAAAAATTATTTATGCTTTGGGTTAAAAATATACATCAAAATTGGAAGCAGATAATGATAGTGATAGTATCATTCTAGGTGAATAGAAACTATAACCCAGGGACTAGTCATTAGAATAATTATCAATGACAGATAAATAGATTCTCAATGTGTGATTGCCCCTTTACAATTGAGTATTTCTTCTAAGTACAAATTGATATAAATTGCTACTTGTCGTTGACAAGAATTGTTGGTTCCAAAATAAATCTAGACTGCTGTTTTAAGAAAGCAGTTCCTAATATTTTCTATTACTTCAGCGAAAAAAAAAAAAGAAGAAGAAGAAATTTTTGGTAGTGTGAGAAGGTCTCTGTATTTTTATTGGCTACTTACAAATTCTGAAAAAAAAAACCCATAATCCTTTTTAAATGACCCTATCAATTCATATATTTAGCATAATTTACCAACATTTCCAAACCCAGCAATGGAAAAGCCATCACCATGGCACTAGGTCATGGTCCAGAATGAAGCCATCAACAAGAATTAATACACTGTGACAGCTGCCCAAAAGCTTTCATTCTTTTTATTTAAACATCCCATTGCAAGCTGAAATTCAGTGTAACCTTTGTTGAAAGTAGCCCAGCTAACATGCAAGAATTCAGAACTGAGAACAGATGACAAGTAGTAGTTATTATTGTAAATTCAGTCCATAGCAATAAATTCTAGAATTTACATACATAACTATTTCTAAGCATTTCAGGAGTAGCATACAACTATTCTTGTCTATTTGAACAATTCTTAATGACATTTAAAAAATTAAACTGATGGAACTAAAATTATTTAGCTCTGATTTCTGTGCTCAATAAATTATTTGACTAAGTCCCTTTGCTTATACTGCAATGTAAAAGTGACTTTAATTAGTCTATGAAGTCTATTTTGAGGTCATGTAATTTTTTCCTAGGAATTATTTACCAGAAAAAATTATGTAAGATTTTTTTTGACACAAATAAAACTCATACAAAAAGGTAAAACTGACACAGAAAATAGTTACGCATTGCAATTCCCAAAGGATGCATATTTGCTGATATCAATTAACTACTGAACTAGGAATTTAATATTTTAAAGTGCATTTTAAATTACAAGATTTTCTAATGATTGATTATTATCATCAAAATTTATCAGCTAATAATCTACATATGAAACAGTTAGAAAATCACTTAAGCTTACCCCCTTTTCAATATTCCCCGTTTGACAGAGCGTCCCCTCAGCTGCTGGAATACTGTTGGTGACACAGCGGTTGCTTTTGCTGAGGCACCAGAGCTCTCTACACACTTCCTAGGAAAGAAGGCAAAGCAAGTTGATCAGAAATAGAAATTAAAATTGTGGCCAATTGTTCCATAAAACACACTCACATTCAGTATTATAGAAAAGAGAACCTAGGTCTCATGCTGTTGTCGAAGCATCAGAGATAGGATCTTATGTAAGACGGGTTACCCTTTTCACAGAATCACTTAAACATTTGTCTTTATAATTCTCATTTTAGTGGATAAATTATGTCTTAGCTTTTAACACTGATTAGGATCTTTTCACAACATGCACAACAATTTCATTAATACAGAAGACACATAATAATAAAGAGAGGAAATCCATGTTTATTACATTCATACAAGAACATAAAATAACACAAACTTACCAATTACTAATAAAGTATTGCAAGGGAAATGACTTCCTAGACTTACTGTAATAGGCAAACAAAGACAACTTTAAAATGACAAAGGGACACACATATATCATGAGATGGATACAAATTTAATATATGTGAAGTAATATGATGTATGTTGGAATAATTTCTAAAGTTCAGATAAGAGCAATTTAGAAATGTTATTTTCAGTCTGTCAATGTCGTCTACCTCCATGAAAAGAATACCTGGTTTTGAACAAATGCTGCCATTTATAGCATGTTTCAGATGCTACTTGAAGCTGTCAGAATTTTCTATGACGAGAGCATTTGTACCTTGGTGCTTAAGTTTTAGGAACCAATTGGGCCTGCTAAGAAGGTCAATTCCCCCAAAGTCTCATTAAAATCGAACTCGTAATCTTTTTCAGAAAACTCCCTTGAAGTATACAGGTTTCCCCTTGATGCTATCAGATCTAATTTATTATGATTTATCTTCTCATTACCTCAGTATAGATTTACAATACCTGTTCTAACATTATCAATATAAAATACTTCATTTGGGGGCTGGGGTTGTGGCTTAGTAATAGAGTACTCGCTTAGTGCAGATGAGGCACTGGGTTTGATCCTATGTACCACATAAAAATAAATAAATAAAAATAAAGGCATTGTGTCCTCATACATTTAAAAAATACTTCATTTTGCTTGTGCTATGTTGATTTATCAGATTCTAAAATAAGCATATAAACATTATCCCTGAGTAAGAGTTTTAACAGCTCAAACCAGATTGTTTTGGAAGAAAATACTAAAAAATTTCAGTTTCTTTTATATATAATCATCAAGTAGCATCACTGCTGATATAACAAGTTTTTAATTTAAACTAGAACTATGTAGTATAATGTGTGTTTGCAATAAAAATATGATAATCTGGATACAGAGATAAACTAATAAGGAATACGTAATCTTTTTGCTCATTTTTAACTCTTTTTAACTCTCAAAACACAATTTTAAGAACACAGTTTTAAGCTCCTAAATATATTTAGTTAATATTTAAAAAGCAATAGGAGTAATATTTAAGTGGCTTTAAAATACTGCCCCATGTAGCAAAAGTTTATCCAAATTCAAAAAACAATGAATTCACAAAAACAGAGAAGCATTAATAGAACAGAATACATATAGAAATCATGAAATTGTTTCATCCATAAATTTGTTTCTAAACAAGACTTCTGATCTCTTATGATCCTTATCTGGCCTAAATCTTACTTTGACAAAGTAAAAGAAATCTAAAGTTTATTTTACACAGAATTAGGCAATGAAAATTCTTTATTGAAAAGGACTATACTCACAGCATCTCTCAAAAAACATACAATTTATTTTTCAAAAGTATCTTGGAAATCTCTACCCAAAATGGCAAGTGCTTTAGAAATTTTTTTCAAAACCTAAATTTCGAGATTCAGGAAAAAGCCCTCTTAATGCTAAGAGAATGATGCCTTTTGAAGTAGTCCAACAGAAGTTTGTTACCTTTGTGAGTTCCTGAAGGCTGGAATTTTGCTAGAGCATTAACTTCTTATAGATCACTAAATAAAGCATGGCACTGGAAGTCTAACTCAAGATGTTAAACTAGTCACAGAGAAGGAGCTAAAGAGTTTTCAAATAGATCTCACAACTGGAATCTCAGCTTCAGTAAGAAAGATTTTGATATTCAATTTAGGAAGATTTCCACGTTTAGAAAAAAGAAAAGCAACAAATGATGCTCTCTTGAACAATAAAAAGCAAGATAAATTCATTCATTTCATTAAGAACAACTTCATCACTTTCAGAATGTCCTTCTTCCTCTAAACTGCTGAATTCTGGAATGTACATGATATATTTACATAGATAGATCAATTTCTTTTCACTTGCATATAAGTTGCTGAATAAGCACCCTGATACAAGTTCCAAGTTCTAATAGTTAAATGCAAGTTGAAATTTTTTGCCTCTTGGAAAATATTTATAAAAACCAAAGTCGCAGGTAGATCAATTTCCCTAAATAAAATGCAGAGGTGAGGATAGATAGTAGGAAGTAATGATATTTTCTTTTTTTTTTTTTTTTTTTTTTTTACTCACCGCCTTCGGTTTAGCTTTAAAACATAGTTTTCTTTCACATATTTGTGATTCCTGACAGAAAGAGATAAGATTAAGAGTAATTTCATGACCTTTATGAACTAAAAAATCATTGTGTGTTAGGTTCCCCTTTATGATTCTAAACTGTCTTTTGGGAAGACTCTCTAGGGGAAATTTGGTGCTGTGCTTTGAGTTTAACACATTGTTACAAATTTTCAATTCTATGGGGCATGATGATGGGTTAAGGAAGGACAGAGAAGTTATCATCAGCTCCACTAAGAGTCATTTTTTTTATGTGGCAGTGGAAATTTGAAATGGAATCTAATTTCATGGAATCAACTTCTAACCACTTAGGAGGGTTGCCTGATAATGCAAAAGTAATAGCAATTTGCCCCTTTCATTTAAGAATATTTATTGAGAATCTACTATGCACCCATCGCTACATTAATGTTATGAAAAAATACTACCACTTAAAATTCATAGGAACCAGAGAGAAAAGTTAGGGAGGGTATAGTCAGATATGTAACCATGGATTGGTTTGCTTTATGACAACTTTTTAATTTCTATGACAAAATTAGAATATAATCCTTATATTTCATGACACTAAATTTTTTATTCTAATGGGCTTTAATGAAGTTTTATTCCTTTTAGTCTTTAGATATTACAGTAGATTGTAAGTAAGATTGCTGAGGACAGGGTCTGTTTCCTTAGGACAGCCTTTATAAAATGTTCCTTTTTGGCAAAATTAAAAGTTGGCATCCCCATTTTGGTGTGCCAGTATTTTAAGAGAAATTTTCCTTGTCTATAAAAACCTAAAAGTTGGTGAACCATCCACTTGTACAAGACTTGTTAGCCAATGTTTATTTAGATACATCTGTGTCTACCAATGCTTTTAATGAAAATTGTTTTTTAATGCCTACAATTAATTATCTTTTGAAAACAATTTCTTCTTGACATACATTCTTTATAATATTTTAGCAAGGGATATTTTTTTCTTATTTTTCTGAAAGTACATTTATTTATCTTCATTTGGACAATATTTTAATTGAATATCCAATACCTCAGCCTTTAAAAGTATTAAGTCCATTGTCATCTGACCTCCACAGGGGCCAGACCTGTTAGTCTACCAGCTGTCTTTTGTAGGAGTCTTTCCAGGTGCTTTCAAGAATTCCTTTTGTGCTGTTTTGCCACATATCTAAGTATTTTGTTTTAATCTACTTGGACTCATGCTATGAAGATTTGTATTTTCCTTTGACTCTGATTTTTTAAAATGTGTCTCTTTCCTAGACTTTCCATTCTTTGTTTGTTTTTGTTTTTATTTTGAAGCTCCTATTCAGCTAATTTTGGACCTTTTTTACCTTCTCATTTTAGCCACCTTGGCTCTTATTCTCTTTTTCAAATTTTTTTTTAAATCTTGGGCATTAATTGTCAATTTCATGGTAGATTGTTTCCTCATTTATTATTTTTTATTCCAGCTTATCTTCAGTGAAAAATTTTTTATTATTACTTCAGCATCTTCTGTAGAAGTATAGTCACATACATTTGCTTATATCATATATCCCAAGGTTTTCATGTTGACTTATTTGGTCAGCACTATGTTGTCTGTACAGAGTCTTTTCTTTTGTTCTTATGTGAGGCACAATCCTAGGGCTCCATTTCTTATGGGAGTCATTTTTCCCCATTAATGTATCTGCACAGTTCAATCAACTTTTAAAAAATGACACAAAAGTGATGTCTTTTCACAGTGTCTGCACCTGTCCTCATGTCTCTGACAGAGAGCTGGGCATTTTAGAAATGACACCATTAAGCCATCTACTTTGTTCAATAAAGAAAGGAGAAAACAAACAAACAAAAAAATTTAGATTATCTTCTGAGTCTATATATTGCTATGGTCTTTCTCTTAAGTTGTGAGAATGCTTGTTTGATAATTTCAAATCATTAATGTACTAGAAAATAACCACATACAAAAAAAGTGAGACTTATGTATCTTGGCTTCATTTTGTCAATTTGTCAATTGTTCATGCGTTTCTTCTAATGCTGTGGTTAAATGGACTGAATTTAAATATGTTTGTTAGTGTTATTTTATCTAGCATATTTGTTTTTGTGCCTGAAGGAATGATTGGGTTTACTATTTGTCATGTTTTTGAAACTGGAACTCTTTCCTCAGACTTTAAGAAAGTCAATTTTATACATGATTGTAAAAACGTACACATCAGCCTAGAAGTCAGGGGAGCAGATTTCAGTTCAATACTCAAAATAATCTTCCAAAAGTCAGAGATGAACAATGATGAACTAATGCGGAATCCTTATCGATGGAGATTTTCTAGCACTTCATGACCACCTGGCAGGGATTTTGTAGGCAGGAAGAAAATAAAGGAAGTAATACTTTTTCAGGGTATGCTATTAACTACTATACAAGGTGTATTCATATTTTTGTCTCATTTAATCATCACCGCCCCCATGTTATGGTTTCCAACAGAAGATGACTCCTCCATTCAAGAGGTTCACTTTACAAAACTTGGAAATTATGAGAAACTAACATAGTTTCAGGAAAAATT